AAAGTTCTGATTATTCTTTGTAGAGATCTAGTATAGAGCTGTATGAAGGGGTAAATGAGGCACAGTTTGTTATAAAGAGCTTTGAGCATCTCGATAAGATAGAAAGGAGCTGTATATGCACAGTCCATTTATCATTTTCCATTTCAAAACTAAATGTTACTAAAAGCCAAAAACATGAGCGTTAATTTTAGGAAGAAGTCATCGTTATCTTTACCTGCTTCTTTCTTTTCAGGTTGCAGGAGGAAGAAGTCGTAACTGCCACTTTTAACGGTCATTAAGGGAAACTTAGTGGAGCATGTTGAATACTATAAACACCTGGGAGGTGCTGTTCTACAATGAGGATACCAATGTGGTCTGCAAAGACTGCACCTCCTCTGCAAACAGCAACATGGTGCTTTTACTGAACAGTGCTCTGGTTGAATCAGCTCTTACCTTTTCTTTTTTCACTTGGTTCAGCAGTTTTTCTTTAGAAGATAAAAAGTTAGAACACATTAGGTTCAAGGCTCTTTATTGTCATTCTCATCACATGTGGTACATGAGGTAGAGCCAAATTGTGTACACAGGGTCCCAGTTACATCCAACAATAGCAAAAATATAAAGTATAAAAAGAAACAGTATATAAGGATCTAAGATATACGTTAAACACTACTGATGTAAAATAATGCAGTATATTTAACAGGAGCCTGAACATGTGTCTGTAGTGAGCAGGTGGGTACGAACACAGCAGCTTAAAGACAAGAGATCAGCAGCAATGATAATCAGTAGCACAGATAAAGTGACATAATCACCAATTAAAGTGGCATCACAGTGATTTTCCTGGTTAAACCTGTCAGTAAAACTGTCTGAATCAAACCTGAAGCCCAGAACATTATCCACTGTCCTGAACAGCCTCTGCACAGGAATCGGACGACTGAAGCCAGAACCAACCGGATGAAAACTGATTTCATCACTTAGACCCTTATTCTATAAAATTTTAAAAACTGGCTCTTTACTGAGGTGGGCCTTGTATTCTGGGTTGTAATTAATTCCAAAGGTGCTCGGTGGAGCTCAGGTCAAGACTTCGTGCGGGTCAGTCAAGTTCTTCCACACCAAACTCCTCAAACCCTGTCCATGTAGTCCTTTCTTCCTTCACTGAGGTATCGTCATGCAGGAATAGAAATGGACCTTCCCCAAAGTGTTGCCACAAAGTTAAAGAACAAAAATATCTGGAACGTTTTGTCATGCTGAAGTATTAAGATACCCATCAATGGAAACAAGGAGCATTTCCCAAACCCTGACTGAAACACCTGAATTCAACAACTGATGTGTTTTGCCTTTATTTAACAGGAGAAACCCACTGAGACCTCTTCGTTCCTGCATGTTTTTAGACTGAGGGAGTGAACCAGAGCACACAAAGAAAACCCATGAGGAGCACATACAAACTCCACACAGAAACCAAAAAAGTCCATGCTCAATAATCCGGGTATACAATCCAACAATTTTCAGTCAGGTCATCTGATAAAGAAACTGTCCAGATGACCTGACTGAAAAATACTGGATCCACACAGAAACATCACAGGATCACAGGATCTGTCCATATAGTGAATTTAAATTTCTCTGTATGAGGCAAAGACTCACCCTTGACCCAGAGGCCTCAGACTAAAAGAAGCTGACTCTCTTCTTGGCTGCAAACCTCCTCGATGCACGCTGAAGATCATGGCTTGAAGGTACCAGCGGAACCACATCATCTGCCAAAAGCAAAGACGAGACCTGAGGTTCAAACCAGACACCCTCCTCTCTACAGCGGCACCCTGAGATCCTGTCCATGAAGATCACAAACAGGACACCTCTTTAAAGGACTGTGTAATCCTTGAGCATGTGAGCAGCTGGTTCTGGTTGTCAGCAGCAAACTGGTTGATCCACTCTGAGAAGGTGCTATTTAAGAGACTGAGCTGAATACAGCACCTCAGACTGAGGAAGTCCTTTGGATGAGAGACGAAACGTTTCTACTTTCTTTTTTTTTTGGCTTCGTTTTGTTTTTTTGAATGTAGGCAGCACGGTGGCACAACTGGTAGAGCTGCTGCCTCTCAGCGAGCAGGTCCCTGGTTCAAATCCCGGTCCAGGGGTCTTTCTGGGTGGAGTTTGCATGTTCTCTCCGTGCATGCGTGGGTTTTCTCCGGGTACTCCAGTTTCCTCCCACAGACCAAAAACATGCATGTTAGACTGATTGGTAACTCTAAATTGTCCCTAGGTGTGAGTGAGAGAGTGAATGGTTGTTTGTCTCGTTTGTCTCTATGTGTCCCTGTGATGGACTGGAGACCTGTCCAGGCTGTGTCCCCCGCCCCTCGCACAGTGATTGCTGGACATGGGCACCGGCGACCCCCGTGACCCAAAAAATGGAATAAGCGGGTAAAGATAATGGATGGATGGATGGAGATGTATGTGTGTGTGTGTGTATGTATGTTTTTGAATGTCCAGAGGACCAGACTTAACATTTTTAAATAAAAAGTAAACAGTTTATTAAACTAAAGCAAAGTAAATGGGCTGGGACTACAGGAGGATTGAGACGGTGTAACACTTAATGCTCCACTGAGGGAGACACAGGAGGAGCGAAAATGTAATGGACAGAAACAACAAACACCTGGTGAGGACAGGAACAGGGAAGAGGTGTGTGGGGCAGGAGCGAAACTACAAGGGCACAAAACTGCTGAAGAAACTGGAGCATGGGAAATATTAAGACAGAAAACCTTGAGGGGCTGCGTCATGAGTTAATCAGAGTGTCGTAATTAAAGGAATCATTTAGAAGATTTATTAAAAGTGTGTTTCTTTCACAGATGGGAGGTCTGCTGAGGTGCTGCTTTGGGCCAATGTTTCTCTCATTGAAGGCTGTGAGTCTTCCTACCAAGACCGTTTTAAGCCGGGCATGATGTGCGCAGGTAGCTGTACACGCCCAGCACAACGAGAGGCCTTCTTGTCACGTTGCAGAGTTTAATGTGTTTGTTTGTGAGCAGGGGATCTGGAGGGCAGCGTGGACTCGTGTCAGGGTGACAGCGGGGGTCCTCTTGTCTGTGAGGATGAACTTGGAGTGTCCTACCTGTGGGGGATCGTCAGCTGGGGAGAGAGGTGTGGACAGCCAGGATTCCCTGGAGTTTATACGCAGGTGAAGTATAAGTACACAGTGCTAAATACTTGAACACTCTGTACACATGAGTTGATGAGTACAGAAGTCTTGAACCATTCTTGTTACTGTTCATCCATTATGCTTCTGTTTTGTTGCAGTTCTTCCAAAATGATCCTAAAAAACATAATCACACTGTCCATCTTGATCAGGACAGTGTGCTACAGCGTTTCCTAACAGTACATTGTACAGCAAGAACAAAACACACAAAAACAAAAAACTGTGGACAACAATGAGATTTTGGTGAAGCAAGTGTTAAACCCAGTCCGCTTTGGACCTCCAACTCAGACTGCACAGCAGAACCATCAGTCAGTCTAAACGGGTCTCAGAAAATTGTACAGAACTGCTGTTTCCACATCTTTGATTTTAATTTATTAACCTTTATTCAACCAGGCAATCCCATTGAGATAACAGGTCTCTTTTGCAAGGGAGGCCTGGACCTGAAGACAGACTAACATGCATGTTTTTGGTCTGTGGGAGGAAACCAGGGTACCTGGAGAAAACCCACGCAAGCATTCCTGTGAGGCAACAGTGTTAACCACTGAGCCATCGTGCTGCCAATCTTTAACACAATCACAGCTGAACAGGGAGGACTTCTGGAGATTTTTCCACAGAATGTTGAGTGGGACGATGTCACACTCAATTTGAAGGTGTCTAAACTTCATAAACCTGTTGCGTACTTTTCTTATTTCTACAAACTTTATTTTTGTACAAACACTCATTTGTAGTCTCACACTTATGTGTTCATGTATAACTAATTATATTAGAAAATTTGATGGCATTTGTTTATTTGAGGAAATTCCTCAAAAGGGAGGATTGAAGTAGAAAAGTTTTGTTTGGCTCAGAAGACCCCACAAGGACGCAGAATTTGATCAAGTACGTGAATGACTTTATCTTACAGTAAAGAGAGAAAAGCTTTTATCTTACAGGAAGTGAACCAAGTGTTAGAATGTCTGGGCGTACGTCAAAGATCTGGTATACTGGAGAACTTTGCAATAACAAGCTTCGTTTTTATAAGCCTCTGACATCCATCCATCCATCCATCCATTTTCTTCCACTTATCCGGGGTTCGCTGATGACACCACAGTGGTCGGACTAATCTCTAAGGGAGATGAGACATTTTACAGACAGGAGGTCCTGGAGCTAGCAACCTGGTGCTCAGAGAAAAATCTGGCTCTGAATATCAAAAGAACCAAGGAGGTGATTATTGATTTCAGGAAGCACAGCACCAACCTAGCTCCCCTTCACATCAATGGTGAGTGCGTGGAGAGGGTTCACACTTTCAGATTTCTTGGTGTCCATATCTCTGCTGACCTAAACTGGAAAGAGAACACCACAGCGGTCATCAAGAAGGCTCAGCAGAGACTACACTTCTTAAGAGTCCTTAAGAAGCACAACCTGAACACCAACTTGCTGCTGACCTTCTACCGCTCGTCCATCGAGAGCCTGCTGACGTACTGTATCTCAGTATGGTCCGGCAGCTGCACCCTGGCTGACAGGGAGAGGCTTCAGAGAGTAGTCAAGACAGCACAAAAGATAATTGGCTGCCCTCTCCCCTCCCTGATGGACATTTACACATCACGCTGCCTCAACAGAGCAGAAAGCACTGTCATGGACTGTTCACACCCGGGTTTTGAACTGTTTGACTTGTTACCTTCAGGGAAGCGCTACAGGAGTATCAGAACAAGAACAAACAGATTCAAGAACAGTTTTTCCTGAAAGCCATCACCACACTGAACTCACACATGCACTGATTTAATCATCTAACCTCCCAAACACCTGGACTTCTACTGTGCAATACTACTGACATTTCATACCCTCAGTCACCTTAACTACCTCACTAACATCCATAATGTGCAATATAATTGTAAAATACTTGTATTTTTTACTTTCATAGTGCTATTATATCTATATTGCGTTACTTTTTAAATGTTTTTAGTGTGTATTTTTCTTAAACATGTTTTTGCACTGAAAAAAAGAGCGGCTCTTAATTTCATTGTATTTGCGTATAATGACAATAAAGGCATTCTGATTCTGATTCATTCTGATTCTGGGTTGGGTCGTGGTGGTAGCAGCATAAGTAAGGAGGCCCAGACTTTCCTCTCCCCAGCCACTTGGGCCAGCTCCTCTGGGGGAATCCCAAGGCATTCCCAGGCCAGCTGAGAAACATAGTCCCTCCAGCGTGTCCTGGGTCTTCCTCTGGGTCTCCTTTCGGTGGGACATGCCTGGAACACCTCACCAGGGAGGTGTCAATGAGGCATCCTAACCAGATGCCCGAGCCACCTCAACTGGCTCCTCTCGATGTGGAAAAACAGCGGCTCTACTCTGAGTCCTTCCCGGATGACCGAGCTTCTCACCCTATCTCTAAGGGAGAGCCCAGACACCCTGCGGAGAAAACTAATTTTGGCCACCTGTATCCGTGATCCCGTTCTTTTGGTCACAACCAAAAGCTCATGACCATAGATGAGGGTAGGAACGTAGATCAACCAGTAAATTGAGAGCTTTGCCTTTTGGCTCAGCTCTCTCTTCACCACGACAGACCGGTACAGCACCTGCTTCACTGCTGACGCTGCACCTATCCACCTATCGATATCACACTATTTTTCCCTCATTTGTGAACAAGATCCCAAGATACTTAAACTCCTCCACATGGGGCAGGACCTCCTCCTTGACTCGGAGAGGGCACTCTACCCTTTTCCGGCTCAAGACCATGGCCTCAGATTTGGAGGAACTGATCCTCATCTCAGCCGCATCACACTCGGCTGTGAACTGCTCCAGCAAAAGCTGTAGATCACGACCTGATCAATCAATCAACTTTATTTCTATAGCACATTTTAAATGATGAAGCCAATAGGACCACATCATCTGCAAAAAAAAATCAGAGAAGAAATCCTAAGGCCACCAAAACGGATCCCCTCAACACCTTGACTGTGCCTAGAAATTCTGTCCATAAAAGTTATGAACAGAATCAGTGACAAAGGGCAACCTTGGTGGAGTCCAACTCTCACCGGGAATGAGCCCGACTTACTGTCAGCAATGCGGACCAGGCTCTGACACCGGTCATACAGGGACTTAAGAGCCCGTATCAAAGGGCCTGGTACCCCATACTCCCAGAGTACCCCCCACAGGGTTCCCTGAGGAACGCAGTTTAACACCTTGTACAAGTCCACAAAGCACATGTAGACTGGTTGGGCAAACTCCCATGTACCCTCCAAGACCCTGCTGAGGGTGTAGAGCTGGTCCAGTGTTCCACAACCAGGACAAAAACCACACTGCTCCTCCTGAATCCGAGGTACAACTATCCGACAGACCCTCCTCTCTAGAACTCCTGAATAGACCTTACCAGGGAGGCTTAAGAGTGTGATCCCCCTGTAGTTAGAACAAACTCTACGGTCCCGCTTTTTGAATAGGGGGACCACCACCCCAGTCTGCCAATCCAGGGGAACTGCCCCCGATGTCCACGCAATATTGCAGAGTTGTGTAAGCCAACACAACCCCACAACAGCTAGAGCCTTAAGGAACTCCGGGCGAATCTCATCCAGCCCTGGGGCCCTGCCACCGAGGAGTTTTTTAACCATCTCGGTGACCTCAGCACCAGAGATTGGAGAGACCAACCCAAAGTACCCAGGATCTACTTACTCAGTGGAAGACATGCTGGTGGGATTGAGGAGGTCTTCAAAGTATTCCACCCGCCAACCCACGACATCCCGAGTTGAGGTTAGCAGCACACCACCTCCACTATAAATAGTGTTGGCAGCTTACCTCCCCCCCCCCCCCCCCCGAGATGCCTGATGGTGGACAAGAATCTTCTCGAAGTCATATGGAAGTCATTCTCCATTGTCTCTCTGAACTCCTCCCATGCCCGAGTTTTTGCCTCAGCGACCACCTGAGCTGCATGCTGCTTGGACTGCCGGTACCCATCAGCTGATTTCGGGGTCCCACAGACCAACAAGGCCTGATAGGACTCCTTCTTGAGCCTGACAGCATCCCTCACTGCCAGTGTCCACCACCGGGTTTGAGGGTTACCACCACAACAGGCACCAACAACCTTGCGGCCACAGCTCCACTAAGCCGCCTCAACAATAGAGGTGCGGAACATGGCCCACTCTGACTCAATGTCCCCCACCTCCCCTGCAAATGTGTTTGAAGCTCTCCCGGAGGTGGGAGTTAAAGCTCCATCTCACGGGAGATACTGCCAGACATTCCCAGCAGACCCTCACAATTCATTTGGGTCTGCCAGGTCTGACTGTCATCCTCCCCCACCATCGGAGCCAAATAACCACCAGGTAGTGGTCAGTGGACAGCTCCGCCCCTTTCTTCACCCAAGTGTCCAAGCCATGTGGCCGCAGATTAGATGAGATGACAACAAAGTCAATCATTGAACTGCGACTTAGGGTGTCCTGGTGCCAAGAACCCATATGGACACCCTTATGCCTGGATATGCATATGAACAATCCATTATGAGCACAGAAGTCCAATAGTCCAATAACAGAACCCCACTCGGGTTCAGATGGGGGGTGGGGGGGGGGTTCCTCCCGACCACACCCCTCCAGGTCTCACCATCATTGCCCACATGAGTGTTGAAGTCCCCCAGCAGAACAAGGGAGTCCCCAGGAGGCACACTCTCTAGTACCCCCTCCAAGGACTCCAAAAAGAGTGGGTAATCTGAACTGCTGTTTGGCGCGCAAGTACAAACGACAGTCAGAACCTGTCCCCCCAAACGTAGGCGGAGGGAGGCTACCCTCTCATTCACCAGGGTGAGCCCCATCCTACAGGCACCAAGACGGTGGCAACAAGTATGCCCACTCCTGCTCGATGCCTCTTACCAGGGCCAACTCCAGAGTAGAAGAGTGTCCAGCCCCTATCAAAGAAAACTAGTTCCAGAGTAAGAGCCATGCATCGAGGTGAGTCCGACTATTTCTAGCCGGAACCTCTCAACCTCACACACCAGCTCAGGCTCCTTCCCCACCAGAGAGGTGACATTCCTCATCCCAATAGCCAGCTTCTGTAGCCGAGGATCAGACCGCCAAGGTCCCTGCCCTCGGCTGCCACCCAGCCCACATTGTACCCAACCCCTTTGGCCCCTCTCACAGGTGGTGAACCCATGGGAAGGGGACCCACGTCTCGTCTTCGGGCTGTGCCCGGCCGAGCTCCATGGGTAAAAGCCTGGCCACCAGGCACTCGCCAGCGTGCCCCACCTCCAGGCCCGGCTCCAGAGTGGGTGACATACATGGAGGGTATAAAAGGAGGTTTGAGCTAGTTTGGGACATGGGGTTGTATTTTGGCTTGTGCTAATTCGGAGATCTACATTGTTTTACAATAAACCCTGGCTTTGCTGTCAATACCGACAATCAACATGTCAAATTATTTTATCTAATGATTAAAGTATCCATGTAGTAAAAATCTACTGCACTTTCACCCACTGTCTCTGCTGTAGAAACTTGTTTTGTCTCAAACCCCAAAAAGCTCAGGGGTCACACTCCAAAACTCATGGTGACTTTTGTCTTATCTGTTTCTACCTCAAGTATATGGTGTATTTAACTCGTCATATTTCCTACATCAAACGCTGTGGACACATAAAAACATGATGGACAGATGCATGAACTACTTTCAGGCAGCAGTGGGAAACTTTACCATCTCACTTTCATGTGATATAATTTAATTTCAGAAGGCCGTGATGTCATTGAGTCAGTGATTATCCATGGATTTAGTATATTTTGATGACACCCCCCTTGTTTGTGTAACTACTTGCTAGTTTTAAAACAACGCGTTTTTATAGATGAGATGACTATGTCCAGTCATAAATCGCTCTCGGTCATCTTGTTTCTAACTCCAAGACATACACTGGGCTCAGCACGTCCACTCTTCATTCGTGAACAAATATATAAACTGATTTCTCACATTTAAAAGTTCAGAACCTTCCTTGTTCATGACGATGCATCTAAAAATAGATATGACCAACTTATAGTTTTACCATTGTGATTGTGTGCTTCAGGCTTACTTTCTACTCTTTGTTTCTGTCTGTCTTATTTAGAGTGATGAATGGATGTGGCAAACGTAGGTGTGTGGCTACCATGGAGATCCTAACGAGCCACTTGCAGCCATTTTAACCTTTTTTGTGTATTTGTTTGTTGTTCTCTTTTCACATCCTTTAGAGTTTAAAGATCCAAATGTTGGCATTTTGTCAGCTCAGGTCAGTGGTCCTCAGTCCTGGTCCTGGAGGACCACCGTCCTGCAGGTTTTAGGCCCACCTGATTTGAAACACTGAGTCTCTGCAGAACCTGAAGACCTGCTGAAGGAAACAAGTAAAGAATGCAAGACAGTGGACCTCCGGGACCAGGACGGGACACTACGGGTTTAGATTAGAAATCTTCGATAGTGTCTGTGATGGTGCTGGACGTGGAGGCAGGAACTGCGTTGGCACTTTTCTGCCAAAATCTTCCTGTTATGTTTACTTCCACAGAACGACCGCAGCATGGCTGCAGTTTTCAAAAGTTCTGATAACGTGTTTCTGTTGCAGGTCGCTCACTTCTTTGAATGGATCCGACTTCACACCGGTTGGCCTGCAGTCACCAGATATAACTTCTAATGAGACCAAAACTCATCGTCTCACTGTTTAACCTCAAACTGTGGACATTTTGACAGAATTTACCTGGTTGGAAATCATTTGTTACCAGAAAATGCCAATAAAAATTTGTTCTGGTTGATTTGTTGGAAAAATGTTGATTTCAGTTTTCATTTTTTTCAGTTTATATCTTTCAGCAGCCTCTGCCCCATCTACAGATACACGGTCTATCTATGCTCTGAACACGTATTTACCCTCGATGTTCTGTAAAGGAAGCAACAAGAACCTAAACAAATGGTGTGATGTGGAGAGGGATATTGTTGCCTACTGAGGTGGTTTTTTTACCACGTTAAACTCACAGGAAGAGTCTGAATCTGTTCCACGAGTAGCTGAAACCAAATCTGCACAAAGGCCAGAAAAAAGACTAGACTTTGCCTTTTAGTGTGAAAACGTGTTGCAGTGAGCAGAAACTGGTTCTGTGACTGAACAGCACTTCAAGGGTGTAACCCTGAAAGACAAAGACAAAAAAGGTTTGGAGTTTAAAATTAGCAAGAAAGAGAAGTCTGACTGACGACAAGCAGCCAAAGGCTTCAAAATTCTGTCTCTAGTTATAATGTGCTTGAGGCAACAAGAAACTGGTTCCAGGATTTTAAAAGAAAAGTAAGATTAGCCGTTAGATTGCTAAAAGACTCAAATGTTGAACTAGTCTGTTTAGTGCTGAAATGTGCTGGGGGGCAAATGAAACGGGTTTCAGAGCTCTAACAGGAGAGGAAGGGTAGACTGAGGAGATTAACCCAAAAATTTGAAAACTTCTACGTTTAAAAATGTGCTTTAAGCAAAGAAACATGCTTCAAGGTCTTACTAACACTAAAGAGCTCGAAGAGGAACCCTGAGCTGACAGAGAGTCAGAAATCTGAAAGGAAAGAGCCGACAATGCTTTTATTTCCTGACCTATCAGTTGGTTTATGCTGGTGAAGATTCTCAGTCATCCAGGACATGATGAATTCAAAAAGCGTTCAATACAAAAACAACTGGACTTTATTACGTTACAAATAAAGTCCAGTTGTTTTTGTATTGAACGCTTTTTGAATTTATCAGTTGGTTTGTTTACTGCACACCTGTCATGGCTTATGTGGCTGAGTGGAAACGTGTATGTCTTTGTAAGTCCTTGTACCGTTTCAGTCCACCTCCTCCCATCCTTGTCTCTGTCCACGGGCTGACCTGGGTGCCTCTGGGGGCTCACTTCCTGATCTCCCAGGACTTGTGAAAAAACTGGTGAGAAGAGGCATCTTACCATGACTAATGCAGCAATGTGAGGTCTGTGAAGCTCTTTATGTCCAGGAGGTGCGCCTGCACCACACTAATCAAATGAAAACTTTGCTAAGCTTCATTTATAGTTTCATTTATTGTTTCATTTATTGTTTTATTTCTTTCTTCATTTATTGTTTCATTTGTTGCTTCATTTATTGTTTCATTTATTGCTTCATTTATTGCTTTATTTATTGCTTCATCCGAACAGTTAGGATTTACACAGGTTTGGAGAACTTCTTTGATCTGGTTCTGGTGTCTGGAGTCGGCAGGTCCAGATGGATTAAGCCCTAAACTCCTGAAAGGATGTGCAGCTCAGCTGTGTGATGTTTTATGGCACATTTTCCACCTGAGCTTGAGCATGAGGTCTCTGCTCTGTGGAAAACAACATGCCTTGTCCCGGAGCTGACAAACAACCACCCAAACTCTTATGGACTACAGACCTGTGGCCTTGACATCACATGGCATGAAGTCGCTGGAGAGACTGGTCCTGAAGCATGTCAGATAAGTGGTGGAACCATACCTGGACCCCTACAGTTTTCATACCAGCCACATATTGGAGTTGATGACATCATCTACCTGCTGCACAGAGCCTACACACACCTGGACAGAGCAGGCAGCACTACAAGAGTCATGTTCTTTGACTTCTCCAGTGCTTTTACCACCATCAGACCTGCTCTACTCTGCAGTAAGCTCCTGAACATGCAGGTGAAGGACTCGCTGGTCACCTGGATCAGAGACTACCTCACAGGTCAACCACAATACATGAGGCTGCAGAGCACCACCTCGGACACTATCTGAACAGCACAGGGGCTCCTCAGGGCACAATCCTCTCACCATTTCTGTTCACCTTCTACACCTCAGACTTCAGGTACAACTCACAATCCTGCATCTGCAGAGGTTCTGGATGACTCTGTCATTGTGGGCTGCATCACTGGTGACCAGGAAGCTGAATACAGAGGTGTGGTGGTCAGAACCACCTGCAACTCAACATTGGAAAAACTAAAGAGCTGCAGGTGGACTACAGGAAGAAGATCAGCCCCCTCCCCCCCCCCCCCCCCCAACCCCATCAACATCAAGGGTACTAAGGTGGACACTTTGAACTGCTACAAGTACTTGGAGGTCCACCTAGACAATAAACTGGACTGGACAGCTGACACCAACGCCCTCTACAAGAAAGGACAGAGTCGCCTTTTTCTTCTGAGGAGACTCAGGTCCTTTAACATCTGCAGGACCATGCTGCAGATGTTTTACCACTCAGTGGTCTCCAGTGTCATACGCTGATGCCAACAGACTCGATAAACTCATGAAGAGAGCTGGCTCAGTTCTGGTAGTGGATCTGCAGTCTCTGACAGAGGCATCTAAGCAGAGGATGATAAGGAACCTGCTCCAGATCCTGAACAACACGTCATCCCCCACCCCCACATGACACCCTGGACTCTTATCGCAGCACCTTCAGTCGTAGACTGAGACCACCAAAGTGTTCCACAGGACACCACAGGAAGTCCTTCAAACTGTTTAACTCCTCCCCCTTTCTAGACAATAAAATTAATCCTGCACCAAAATAAACTCTTTAATGTTTCTGTCTGACCTGCTTACAACTTAATGATGGTATTTTTATATTCTCTGTTATTTTTATATCTTGTTATTCATTGTGTATGTTCCTTTGTATTGAAACTATGGTGCAACAATTTCCTGTGGGATCAATAAAGTTCTATCTCATCTCATCTCATCTCATCTCATCTTATCCTCTTCTGTCTTTGTGGGGATGTGTTTGGCCCGGTGGTGTAAAGTTCTGATGACAGTTTGTGTTCCATTGGGTGGTGAGAGTCCAACAGAAGGTTCTGACCCATGTGAGGTTTCCTGTAAATGTCAATGTTGAGGCTTCCATCTCTTGAACATGGAAAGAGATGGAGATCTTTGTAAATTGACGTATACTTCAGTGTTTTTGGTCGTCACTTTGTTCCATCTTTAAATAAACTCTGGAGGTAGGAATGTCTCAGAATCCAGCTCTGTAACATTTGGAGAAAGAAATGTCAATAAAAGCCCCACATGAACATTTTGGACCCATCATCGTGGTCTTTTGTTCTTGATTTGGTGAGTTCTTAACTGACAACACTTTTCTCTCTGCTACTGTCTTTACTTACTCTGCTCAACCTGTTTTGTATTTGTAATTATTTTTTCTATCCTTAACATGTGTTTGTCTTTCAGATACACCTGGACCTATACCTGGACCTGGACCTATATCTGGACCTGGACCTGGACCTATATCTGGACCTACCATTCTGTGTTCGTCTCTCCTTTCTGTCCTCTCAAACCAGCCGGTCAAAGCAGATGGTCTCTTGTTCTGAGCCTGGTTCTGCTGGAGGTTTCTTCCTGTTAAAAGGGAGTTTTTCCTTCCCACTGCTGCCACTGTGCTTGCTCAGGATGAGAGACTGCAACAAAGCCAAGATTCAACTTGTCTGCTGGATTCCTTATGGTGCATTCACACCAGCCCTGTTTAGTCTGTTTTAATCAAACTCTAGCTCGTTTTCCTAGGAATTCCGGTTCGTTTGGGGAGGTGTGAACGCGCCATCGAACTCTGTCACGGAACAAAAAGGCGAACTCTGGCCTCGTCTAAAACCTAGGTCTCGGTCCGGTAGAAGAGAACTCTAGCGCGGTTCCAGTATAGTGTGAATGTAAACAGACCGGGCCCTGCTCCAAAAGCAGGAAGTGGAGTACAGCGCAGGACAAACAAACACACATTTCTCTGACCTCATACGGAGCCGTCAGCTGACTTGTGTGAAAAACAATATTCTCCATGGTCTTCTGTCTCATCTTCTGCTCATTTTGAGTCCATTGTTGAAAAATAACAAAATATAACTCCTAAAACTGCTAAAACTTGATGCCACTTCGTTTTTATTTTTATTTACAGAAGAAGACGTGTCTTCAGAGGTTTTTGTGTCGTTTCTTTCAGTAGTTCTTGGTGCAGCGCCCCCACAGGCGAGCGGGGGAACAGGTTGGTTCAACAGGTTGGTTCAACAGGTTGGTTCAACAGGTTGGTTCAACTGGTTGGTTCAACAGGTTGGTTCAACAGGTTGGTTCAACGGGTTGGTTAAACAGGTTGGTTCAACAGGTTGGTTCAACAGGTTGGTTCAACTGGTTGGTTCAACGGGTTGGTTAAACAGGTTGGTTCAACAGGTTGGTTCAACAGGTTGGTTCAACTGGTTGGTTCAACGGGTTGGTTAAACGGGTTGGTTCAACAGGTTGCTTCAACAGGTTGGTTCAACAGGTTGGTTCAACGGGTTGGTTCAACGGGTTGGTTCAACAGGTTGGTTCAACAGGTTGGTTCAACAGGTTGGTTCAACAGGTTGCTTCAACAGGTTGGTTCAACAGGTTGGTTCAACGGGTTGGTTCAACAGGTTGGTTCAACAGGTTGGTTCAACAGGTTGCTTCAACAGGTTGGTTCAACAGGTTGGTTCAACGGGTTGGTTCAACGGGTTGGTTCAACAGGTTGGTTCAACGGGTTGGTTCAACAGGTTGGTTCAACAGGTTGGTTCAACAGGTTGGTTCAACGGGTTGGTTCAACGGGTTGGTTCAACAGGTTGGTTCAACAGGTTGGTTCAACGGGTTGGTTCAACAGGTTGGTTCAACAGGTTGGTTCAACAGGTCGCTTCAACAGGTTGCTTCAACAGGTTGGCTCGACTGCACAGTGCAGTGTGAATGCAAACGCACCAGCTCAAATGTAACAAAAGCTCATGAATATTGGTCCCGAACCGAACCGAGTCTACCGGACTATCAGGTGTGAAAACGACCTTAGATAGAGAACTTTACTAATTGGCTTTTATGTGAATGTTTCTGTAAAGTCCCTGAGACAACTTTGTTGTGATTTGGAGCTATAGAAGTTAACTGAATTGAATTGAATAAAAAAAAACCAACAGAGGAAACAGAGTTTTAAAAGTTTTAATCTTCAACTCAAACTGGTAATTTTCTGACTGCTGGTCCACAGCTGGGAAGGCTTTTCAAAATAAAAGCACCCTATCTGATGGCACAGTTAATGAGGGAGGGGGCCCTGCACAGCCCCTTCCCCTTCACCTCAAACCCACAACCTTTGTAGGTGGCCACACCTTTGGAGTCCACCTGCAGGTCAGACTGCAGGAGCTCCCAGATCTTCAGTTTGGACGGCAGCTCCCGGTCCGGTTCACCTGAGCAGACCCACACAGACAAGATGGAAACTTGAAACATTCTTCTTTATTATTCTGCTGCACCAGACACATTAATTCTGAGATGGTGAGTCACACAAACGTTGTCAAGGTTACCAGGATAGTTCAGGAAGGTGATTCTGTCTCCAGGGGCGGAGCCTGCAGGTGGAACCAACACCTCAATGTGGTCATCAGAGGTGGCACAACAGAGAAGTCGTGCCTGGGAGGCCACGCCCTTCATTTTGGTTGGCTTGACGTTGCACAGCACCACAGCTAATGAGTCCTGCAGCTGCAAGGATAAACGTGGATTTATAAAGCTGCAATGTTTAACAGATGAAGTTAAAATGGTTCATTAAACTTACATTTAGACAGAAATCAAAATATTATCATCTAATTTCTGCATTTTTACAATAAACTAAAAATCTTGAAATAATTTTATTTGATCTAATGTTTTTTTTACTGCAAGTCAGTACATCAAGCATGACTTTAAATAGTTTTAAAATATTTCAGATTCATTTAAAAAGTCAATTTAAAATATAAGCAGCATAGTGGCATAGCTGGCAGAGCTGTTGCCTTTCAGTGAGAAGGTTGCCAGTTCAAATTCCAGCCAGGGGTATGGGTGGAGTTTATATGTTCTCTCTGTGCTGCATGGGTTTCCTCACACAGACCAAAAACATGCATGTTAGACTGAGTGGTAACTATTAATTGTCCCTAGGTGAGAGAGAGAGTGTTTTTGTCCCTTTGTGTCCCTGTGATGGACTGGAGACATGTCCAGGATGTCCCCACTTCTTTCACAGTGACTGCTGGATATAAACCTGCAGTCTAGATCCAGGAAGAAATGACTAAAACATGAGGAGAAGTGGTTAGTTTTTATATTTATAAAATACTTCAAGAATGAAGTAAAAATATTTTACTAATATGAATAAAACATTTTGAGAATAAAAGCATGATAATAAAACTATATTTTTTATTTTGTGTAATAAAATAAAATTAAAATAACATAAAATAAATAATGAGAGAAAGTGAAACATTTGGGGACATAACTAAAATATTTTTAGATACAAAGACAAAAGAGTATAAAATTAAATTGAAGTAATTTAGAGAGATTATGAGATTACGATGACGATATTTTTACTAATGATAAGGACATTTCTTATTAAGAAATTTATAAAAATGTTTTGTCTTTACAAAAAGTGAAACTTTTTGGGACATTTTAGAAGTGTTTCAGAGATAAGGGACGTTTTTGAAAAATAAATATTTATAAATATTTAAGTAAACAGGTCATATTTTAATAATTTTTAATCCAGTATTTTATCATATTTTTTAAATATATGTTTTCGTTAATTAAATGTTACTAATAAAGTAAAAATCTTGAAGACTAAAATGTTTTGAGCCTAAAAGTCTAAATCTTGGTATTTTTTTAGGAAGTGAAGGAATGTTTCACCTCCTCCAGGTCTGATTTCCCTCCCAGCCTGCTGACCACTGTCCGGGGGGAGTCTTCTCCCATGTCCACCTCCTGGACGCTCATGGTCTCAGATAAGGGATGGAGGCGGACGCTGAGGATCCTCCCGACCCGCAGATCCAGACGTGACACATCTATCTGAGTCTCGGCCCCCAGAGCTAAAGGGTCTGAGGTGGATCCAGCTAAAAGAGGGAATAATAAAATCAGATTTGTTTTACCTTCATGTTGTCTTCCTCCCTCCTCCCTCCTTCCTCCTCTCTCACCTTTCCTCTCCCCCCTCCTCCTCCGGCTCTGTCTCTCCCTCCCTCCATGTGATGAACCAGAGGGAGGAAGTGGAGGAACAGGAACAACAGCTGTTGCTCCTAATGGGGAAGCTGGTTGACTGGCAGGTTTGTTGGGGGCGGGGCTAAGACTATGAGGGGGTGTGGCCTGAGAGAGCAAAGTTTTAGCTGAAAAAGAGAAATTCAATGGAGAATAAACAGGAATGAAAAGCCAGAAGTGAGTCTGATGTCTTCAGCTGCTTTTATTGTTTGAGGAACATTCAAAAGATTTGGACTGAAAAAGTTTTTATAAATCAAAGACCAGACATTTTCTTTGTGCATGTGTTATTTAAATATGACAGAAAGGAAATCAATGGAAGTTTTACATGTTCCTCTCTTCTGTTTCTGTGAGAACATGGAAAACATTTTTATTATTCCTGTAAAAAACACACATTTTGCCAAAGTTAGACATCATATAACTGAGCTCACCTTTCACACACTGGATCAATTATTAACATCAGGATTTAGTTAAAAGACTTGCTGTAAACATTACTAAAGTGACAAACAATTCAATATACCTATTTCTTGAAGGACGTTTTGAAATAGACTTTTTTTTTTTAAATCACTCACTCTTTGGGACCAAAACGGTTCTAATAAAACACCTTTTCTGAGGTCAGTGACCTCAGGTACGTGTGGACTGAGCTCAGGTAATCAGTTTGGTTTGGTTTCAAATTAAAGAAAATCGGTGTGCAAAAACATTTGTGTTGTGTTTTACAGCCTGTACCCGTGCGTCTCTTCTGTTTGTCCTGCAGTTGAGCTCTCAGGTGTTCGATGTCGTTTTTCAGCTTGGCGTTTTCCACCAGCAGCTTCTTCTGCTCTCTGACCGACGCCTGCAGCACTGCAACACATCGTGTCATTCACAAAGACGCACATGTGAGCCTCACATAAAGAAAGGAAATGTTAAATAAATCTTTAAACAGTTCTTTACACTTCCGTGTCAAGTTTGCTGTTTACTCCCACTCTGAAGTGGATTTTCAGGCTGTTCATCATTAAACTCGACTTCTAATAGAATTTATCCAGTGATGTAATTCTGGGATGTTTTAGGTCTTACAAGCTTTTTCTCTGGACAGCAGCGCGTGGGTTTTAAAATACTCCATAATCTGCTCCCCATCCTCCGGGTCAAGTTTCTTCAGAGCTGCTGCTAGACTTAAAAAACAGACAAAACAAGTTAACATCCTCTAAGTCCAAATATCTAAACAATCATTTTTTTAATTAAACACTTCTTTCAATTAACAAGCAGAAAAAAAGTGGGGTTGTTGGATTGTTTGGGTTTACCATGACAAGTTCACAACAAGAATCACCTAAAACCATAGTTATAAGACTGGTACTAGAACCACTGGTAGTACTTAGTATCTCTCTTGTGGTACCCTGAAATATTGGTATCAACTGTTTAAAAGTTAAACAACAAGCTAATTAATCATTGTGAGCTAAACTGTAATGTAAAGCTTGAGTGCTGATAGAGATAAAATATATAGTTCAAGTAAACTGTGATTTTTGCTCCAAATGGAAACTACTTTAAACAAAACTGCAATTAAAAATAGTTCAAGAACCCCTTTATAAACTAGCATGGAGAAGGATTAACAGATGAGTTTTTTAACAGGGAAACCTATGTAGGACCTATTAGCAACAAAAGGTGCAAAACTGCAATGACATTTGTTTAGTTATCTCAAATTTGCATTACATTTTTGTGGGAGCAAAGACCAGTGAGTGCTTTCTTTGCAATCAATGCATGAAACCATCATAAATCCCTTCCTTCAACCAGGGTTTTTTCATTCATTCATTCAACCTTTATTTAGACGTAAATCCCATTGAGCCTTGAGGACTCATTTACAAGAGAGACCTGATTTCAACAAAGAAAGATGACAACAATGGACAACAGCAACAACAATAAACAGTTATAAAAAGTCTTACAATTTTTTTTAAAGAAATGGGATGGCTAAAAAAAAAGTAACAAAAACAGCTAGAAAACTAAAAACAGGAACATGTCTGCATTGGTCCCTGCCAGGAGTCCAACAGAGTCTTAAATCTACTTAGAGAGGTCAAAGGTCGAGAGCTTCAGATATTTTTACAAGATATTCCAGGAAACAGGAGCGGAGTAGGAGAAGGTCCTTTTGTCTAGTTCAGTCCTCACTGAGGGAACACTGCAGGTAATAATGTCCTGAGAGCGCACGCTGTAGCTGCACTCACACAGAGACATGTAGGAGGAGATGTATGAAGGCAGCAGACCAAGAAGTGATTTAAAGATGAAGATGTACCAGTGAGAGAGTCTGTGTGAAGTTAATGGTGACCAGTTAACCAGTGAATACTGGGTGCAGTGGTGGGTACGATAATCACAGCCAGTTATGAATCTTAGTGCACCATGATAGACAGCATCCAACATCTGCAGCATCCAACATCTGCAGGGTTCTTGTAGGAGCGTTCATGTAAATAATGTCACCGTAATCAATGGATGGAGGGAAGGAAGGTCACAGATACAAGGCGTTTCCTAACATTCGGAGTTAGACAGGATCTGTTTCTGAAAAAGAAACCCAGTTTAACTTTCAGTTTCTTTACCAAGTTTTCCACATGGAGCTTAAAAGAGAGATGTGAGTCGACCAAGATACACAAATATTTATAGGAATCAAAAAACTCAATTGGGACACCATTTGAGGATGAAATCAGAGGAAGAACTGCTGGGACCAACTTCCTATTTGAAAACAACATCCCTTTGATTTTGTCGGTATTTAGGACAAGTTTGAGGTGGAACAAATCAGTCTGGATGATATCAAATGCAGATTTCAAAAGCTGGAAAGCCTTATCAACTGTTTTAGCTTGACAATAAACAACTGTGTCATCAGCATAGAAATGTAAAGATGCATCAGGGATGTTTTTACCTACATTATGTATGTAGATTGTAAAGAGGGTGTGTCCTAAGACTGAGCCTTGTGGTACACCATTGTTGACTGTTAAATAACTGGAGGAAGTACCATTATGTTGAACACATTGCCTCCGGTCTGAGAGATAGTTAGAGAACCAACCAATGGTGTGTTCTGAGAAATCGATTTCTGAGAGTTTATGACACAAGATGTTCTGATCCACAGTGTCAGAATCTTTAGACAGGTCTAAGTAAAGTGTGGCACAATAATCCTTAGCATCCAGTGCTTCAACAGCGTCATTAAGAACCTTCAGTGATGCAATCGTTGTGCTGTGTTGTTTCCTGAAACCAGATTGATGTGGAGGTAAGATGTTAAATGAGTCCAGGTCATTTTTGATTTGAGAGTTTATCAGTTTTTCTAGAACCTTGGCTAAAATGCAGAGTTTAGAGATTGGTCCATAGTTGTTCAGTGAGGTGGGGTCACCTCCCTTCAGCAAAGGAAGAACAAAGGCTGTTTTCAAGTGTCTGGGATGGAGTTTTGGCTTATGGAGAGATTGAAGATGTGGGTCACAGGGACTGTGATGATATGAGCAGCCAGCCTTAAGAAATAAGGTGGAAGTTCATCTGGTCCTGCAGATTTTTTAGGATCAAGATCTTTTAACAGTTTATTGACCTCACTGACTGAGAATGGAGAAAAAGAGAAGCTGTGATTAACTGAGGATTGACTTGTAGGAGGGATTTGATTTGTAGAAGTTTGGTTATTAAGTGAAGTGGCTGATCTTCCATTAGTAACTGTGTCAAATAAAGAACCAGAAGCAACAAAATGTTTGTTGAAACAGTTCAGGATCTCGTGCTTATTTGACACAGGAACAGAGTTATTGAGAAGTTGTGATGGGAGGTCAGATGATTGGGGGCTGCCTGAGAGAGATTTGATGGTTTTCCAGAATCTGTTATGGTAATTTAGATTTTTGGAGGTCTGAGTTAAGAAATAATTGTGTTTTGCTGCTTTGACAGCAGTTGTGCATTTATTCCTCATCTGTTGAAAACTCAACCAATCAGTGTCTGAGTCAGATTTTCTCACTGCAGCCCAAAGATGGTCTCTCCGGTGTAGGAGGTCAGCTAGCTCCGGAGTAAACCAGGGGCTGTCTCGTCCCTTTATTCGGAACTGATGAAAAGGAGCATGTTTGTTCACAAAATAAATGAAACTATTATGAAAATAGTTCCAAGCGGAGTTCACGTCATCAATTAATAGAATGCGATGCCAGTCAAAGTGAGACAGATCCCAGAGGAATGACTATTCACAAAAATGCTTCAAATCCCTTTTTTGAATTAATCTGGGCTTAGAAGGTGGAAGTTTAATATCTCTGAGAGTCGCTGTCACACAGTGATCACTCAAAATGTTAGCGAATACACCTGTACCAGGGAATTTGTGAGGCTTATTGGTTAGAAACCGGTCTAAGATGGAGAACTTTTCAGGACAGTTTTTGTTTGGTCTAGTGGGAGAGTCGATCAGTTGGGTTAGATTGAGAGACAGGCCACATTCCTTGAATTTATCACAGAGGGGGGTCGACTTATCCCAATCAATGTTGAAATCTCCAGGCCAAAAAAATCTCTTTGAATTTTAAATTACCAAGGAATTCCATCAGGGAGGACAGAGCCTCAGGTGTTGCTGAGGGGGGACGATAACAACCCACTACAGATAATATCTGGCCTCCATTCAAGGTGATGTTTACAGCTAAGGCATCAATTTGGTTTTGAATTGTTTTAGAAGACACATGACTAGTAACCAGAGAATCTCTGATGTAAATAGCAACTCCACCCCCACTTTTTTGAAGATCACAGCAGAACCAGGTAGAATCACAATGGTCCAGATGAGAAGTTCATTGGGGTCCTGAGTAAGAGAGAAAAAACACCGGACCTTCATGCGACGACTCCCCAGCTCGAGGGGTCACCTGGCTGGCAGGGTGCGCTCAGAGTGACCGGTGAGGTGGGAGCGGCAGGTCCTGGACCAAAATATATTTTTGGACGGTCCCATCCGGCTCTCTGAGTCACTGAACACCGAATTCGGTTGGAAGGGGGACCAACTTTAGTCCGGTTGGAAAAACAGGTCAGTTTGATGATAAAAGACTGCAGAGAAGCCGGTGGGAGCTGCCATCCATCAGCTAGGTTAGGTGTCTATTGTATGCTGATGTTTATTTTAGTGGTTTTCCCCTGAGTCAGTCCAATAACTGAAACGGTTTGGAGTCAAAGGTAAGTCAAGTCAGCTGAAGTCAATCAAGAACCAATCTTGTTTGTATAGCTACCAAGTTAAAATGTGGCAATTGTGGGTGTTTTGGATCCTTAGTAGTGGACCTCAGGCTGATTGATAGTTTCAGCCATTAGACACCTTCACCAGAGGAAGGCCCAGCTGAGGATGGTCAGGCCTCTGTCTGTATCCTTTAGCTTGGTGGGTTTGTTAAAGTTCTGAGGTGTGAATAAGGCAAATGGTTTGGTGTATTGGTTCCATCCATCACCTTCCTCTTGTTCCAGGGAGCATCTTGACCAGATGTCTGAACCACCTTATTTGGCTCTGATCTTGTTCTTTCAGTCTCTACCCAGAGCTCCTGGCCAGGAATGGTAGGGTATTTAAAGGGTAGGCACATGGGGTGCCTACCCTCTGAGTGTAGGCACATAAACCGACTGGTCAGCTCAGCTTCATCTTCACCTATATGGACCGGCACAAAGTCCACAATACTGCAGACACTGCAACAATGTAAATCTCACCTTGCTGCTCAGCTCCCAGCTCCTTCACCATTATTGTATTTTTGGTTAAAGTTTGTGATTCAAGTAGATAGGTAAGTTTCATGTTTATGTCAGTGTTGTGGTCTGTTGTACACAGTTCAGTACAAGCCTAAAACAAGTCCTAAAAACATCCAGCTACCATTTAATATTTGTCCAAATATTGTTGGAGAGCTTAATGTTTTTAGGTGGTTTGAGAACCTCTAGTCTGCAGCTCAGTAATTAATATAAAATCAGTTTCAGTCAAATCTCTATTACATACATACACAAATTAACCAGATAAATTGTCATTTGCTCAAATGGCACCCAGTTCTGACACGTTAAAAATCAGACGATGTCATAAACAATCAGATCAAATGTTTATGCAGATGATATCTCAGAGGATGTGGAAGGTTGTTTTGGCCTGGGCCTACAGACACACAGCTAAATGTCAGAGTTAACTAGGAGAATCAAACATGGACCTTTTATTAAAATGTCACACCACAGATACCTAATATGAAGCTGATTTGACTAACTGATTCTTATGTGTCCATACTGTAAGTTGGTGACATCAACATTTATTTCATGGGAACTCCACTTCCTGCACCAAGACGGTTTGCACCATAGTTTCTTAATTTGAAATATATTCCAGATATTCATTTCCCTTTTGATCAAAACTAATTACCTTACATACAAACCTAGAAATTTAAATTAATGTTTTTGCTTGTGGGGACTTGTACAAGTCCCCCAAAACAAAGGTGTAAAGGCGTGTCCTCATAATGTGCAAAAACAAACCCACGTACACACACTCGGAGCAGCTGCTCCTTTCTGACTCACAGAACAGCTGCAAACTGTCCTGACGCTAAAAATAACGTGAACTGGAACAAGTCACACAAATAATAAGACGCTTCTTGAACATTGAAGATTAAACATATTTATATTTTAGAGTGAAATACAAAAAACTTTGTTTTAGAAGAAATCCTAAACTTCAGCTCGTTGTTCATAAAGTTGGGAACTCAGGATTCTGCCTGCTTTATGTAACCCCTGAGACATTAAAGGTTTCAACTAATTCAATTGTTTTGATTTTTAAAAGAGACCAGTTTAAAACTTAAATAAATGTAAGGCCTATGGGTCTCTTGAACAAATGCATTTGCTCGTCCAGCCAAAGTTTCAAACAAAGATCCTTTTCATTTGTGGAAAAATCCCAGTTTGGTCAAATAAAGGTTTGAGGACGCTGTCAGTGCTCATGGTTTGTGCTAGACATGACTCTCAGCTACTACCACACCAAACTGCAGCTCAATGTACGCGTTATAACAAACTGGATTTGGTTTAACTCTGAAGCGTTAGATAGACGTTCAACGATAACTTTACGAGAGTTTCATTAACATCTGTCCATCAGAAATTTTGCTAACAGAGATTCCCACCATTCATGATAGCAGGCGATCACTAGTGATCCTGTTCGATACAAAGAGCAAAGACAAGGTCACATTTACAGCAGTGGAGGTGTGAAAATAACAAGGATTTCAGCGACGTTAACAGAAATTTAAAAGTCCAAATGTTTACAGGCTCGACCCGAAGAGTTCGCTTCAGAACCAATCAAGAATCAAGAAGAAGAGCAAGTGTTTAAAGTCAAGAAGAAGAACAAGTGTTTAAAGTCAAGAAG